GCCTTCTGGTTAGCAGTCAAGTGCTTTTGGCACTATGCTACCAGAGCTCCCAAAAAATAAATAGTGATAAGTAAATCGAGTTTACACATATTCAGACTTATTTTTCCTTCTCCCTACAATCCCCTCACTCTCCTGAGTATTTCCAGTTTAATTTGAAAGTATTGTAGTTTTCTTAGTGCCGCTCATCCAGAGATGCAGTTTACTCTGACATTTAACTCCTTTCTTACATTTAAATTTTAGTTTCAGCAAGTCTTGTCTTCTATTTACTCAGAACTTTATTAAGCTCCTAATACGTTATTTTCTTTGCTGATATTTATTGCTCTATCTTTTCACCTTTGAACACCTCATTAGTGATGACATTGATTAGATTAATCCCGTGTTCTAAAATTGCATTTTTCTCTTTACCTTATTTTATCTTATTTGCATCTGTTCTAGCTCCATTGGCTTCTGTGTGACTGTTGTCACTGAAAAAAAAAAAAAAAGTAGATAATTTTGTTTCCTTCATCCAAGTAGAGTCAATACACTCAGGACTCAGTGATCCAACTTTACAAGTGAAATCAAATATCTTATTAGAAATGAGAGTGTTCCATATGTTTGGATGGTGGTATTTTAAAAGAATGTCCCTTATTACATTTAAGATATCAATAAAGGTTTTGTGCGAAAATGGCATCATTCACTATGACTCATGTATTTTTATTCATTCAAATCTCCTGCCCCTCAGCATTTTCCTTGTTAAAAATTAGATAAAAGTTACATGGAATCAAAGCACAATGGTCCAAGACTGATTCCCCAACTCACTTACTTTTCACTAAATGATCATGATATTTGAGAAAAGAGAAAAAAAGGAAATTGGTCCAATCTTATAATTAGGCAGTTCTTCTTAGGAATTCTTAGAAACAAGTGGCCATAGGATCCTCACTTTTACTTCACCAGAGATTCAAATCAAAGGATGAAATTCATCATACAGAAAAATAGATGAAATTATGAGAATTTTCAGTTTCTGCCTGAACAAACATTTTCTTAAACTTCTATATTTTCAAAAATTTAAATGCAATTTAAGGCCCACTGATACTATTTTTAAAGTATAAGTAGATGTTGCCTAAACTCCCTATGGTACATAATAGACCACTTCTCCTCCATTTATAATCCATGTATTTTTAATAAGCATAAAAGTGGAAGATATATTTACTTTCCAAAACACCATTATCATTAAATAATCATCTTTAAAGAAATAAATTTGGGGCAGGGCAGAAAGTGTTCCTTGTTTTATAGTCACCTGTAAATTTCATCTGAAATCTAAATAATTAAACAACAAACTCATTGCCTTTGAGTTGATTCCGACTCATAGCAATCCCCTTAGGCTTTCTGAGGCAGTAAATCTTTACAGAAGTAGATTGTCCAGTGTTCCTTCCCCAGAGTGTTTGAATCACCAGCCTTCTGGATAGCAGTCAAATGCCTTAGACACTACACCACCAGAGCTCCATAATTAATCTGACAATAAGTAGAATTTAAACTTAGTGAAATTTTAAACTATAATAATGGCTCTGATCATTTCAGGAAAAGTTGATGTTTTCTGAGTTAAGGTTATTTTGGTCAGTGCACAAAGTCTTTCAGACCATAATAAGGGGGTCACTTGACTGGTATAGATCCTACTCTTGATGTTACCAGAGAAGGTGATGTTTCTGGCCTTTTTGGATTCTGAATTGACAATTAGGCCTCTTCTATTTCATGTTTTTCTTCTCTTCCTTGTGCTTTAATGCAGCCAGGTTTATGCCAAAACTACCACCTCTGCCCATACTCTTCAATTGTAACAAAAATTAAGGTTTCTCTTTCAGACACCCTGTGCCTCGTGTAAGGAATGTGGGAATATTTTGGAGCTACAATGCCCATTTTTCTCCTGTCCCACATCCTTCATGTATTCTAGCTGACTGTTACAATAACCTCCTACCTCTCTGCTGCAGGAAAGTGTGCATCAGGGTTGTATCCTTTCACCATATATATCCAGTCGATATGCTGAGCAAATAATCTGAGAAGCTGGACTACATGTAGAAGAGCAAGGCATCAGGATTGGAAGAACACACATTAACAATTTGTGATATGTAGATAACATAACCTTGCTTGCAGAAAGCAAAGAAGACAAAGCACTTACTGATGAAGATCAAAGACTCTAGTTTCCAGTATGTATTACACCTCAATATTAAGAAAACAAAAATCCTCACTAGACCAATAATCATCCTCATCATAAATGGAAAAATGATTGAAATTGTCAAGGATTTCATTTCACTTGCATGCACAATCAATGCCCATGGAAAAAGCAGTCAAGAAATAAAACAACTTATTGTATCAGGCAAATCTGCTGCAAAAAACCTCTGGAAAGTTTTAAAGAGCAAAGATGTCACTTTGAAGAGTAAGCTATGCCTGACCCAAGTAATGGTATTTTTCAATCACCTTATATGCATGTGAAAGTTGGACAATGAATAAGGAAGATCAACAAAGAACTGAGGCATTTGAATTATGATGTTGGTGAAGACTACTGAATATACCATGGACTGCCAGAAGAATGAACAAATCTGTCTTGGAAGAAATGCAACCAAAATACTCCTTAGAAGTGAGGACAGCAAGACTTCATCATGTTATCAGGAGAGACCATTCCCTACAGAAGGATATCATGCTTGGTAAAGAAGAGGGTCAGCAGAAAGGGGAAAGTTCCTCATCAGGAAGGATTGACACAGTGGCTGCAACAATGGGCTTAAATGTAGCAATGACTGTGAGGATGGTACAGGTTTGGGCACTGTTTTGTTCTGTTGTACATGGGGCCCCTATGAGTCAGAATCAACTCCAAGGCACCTAACAGCAACAGCTCTGCCCCTTCCCCTGACCTCCAAGTGATACCAAGAGCTCCATTCATATTATAACTCCTTTTTCTTTCACATACAAGGTGAAGAGTTTAATAGACTATATATTTTTTCAATAATGAATGAAATATCCTTTGCTCTAAGGCCTATATTTTATGAGTGTCATGTACTGATTGTGGAAACAAAGAAAGATGAAAATAAAATATCAAAATATTTTTCATTGCCAATTGGATGAAGGAGGTTGTATTACTTTAAATATGTGTGTGTGTGTGTGTTGTTATGTGCCGTCCAGTCAGCCAGACTCATAGCAACTCTTCCTTGGGTTTCCGAGGCAGTAT